AACATCTGAAGAAATGTTTATTTTTTTCTCTGTGTTATTTCAGCTGCCATTAATTTGTTTTCTGCTGGGAAAATAATATTGATCATAAAAATGACATGTTAGTTAGAAACTCTTAAGTTTCTATAATACAATATTTCATTCAGAATGAAATGTCAGAATTATGAGTTTGATTCTACTCCTGCTGTAGCCAAGGGATAAATCCCCAATTACGCTCAAGCGGAGCAGGATCAAGTCTTCTCTTTTGCAGGAGAGTATCTTGAACAGTCAATAATCCTTAATCTCTGATTTAAGACATTTTCATTTGTTAAATTTTTTGTTCTGTTTCATGCCTGATGCCAGTTGGCAGAAATGGCATTTGATACGCTTTCTGGGAGTCTGTCTTCTGAGTCTGCTTAGGAGTCTGTTTCTGTAATCTTAAATGAAAAAGACTGTATTTACTGCTGCTACGCTTCTAAATTGTTTGCATACCATGTTAACAAACCGAAAAAAGAGGAGCATATGGGCTTCATGTGGAACAAAGGATGACTGGTTACATTAATGCAGTCAGGTGTTTCTGAGACAAAGATATGCAAAAGGCCTAAAATATTTCAAGCATCATAAATGTATTTATTTATTTCAACGGAAGTGCAGCATAAATTATTTGCTAGTAAAGATAGCGGGAGTGTTTCTAAGCTGTGCTCTGGGAAGACATCTTTTAATTTGAGAGCTGTGACATGAAAACTAAAACAAGAATTTTTCTCAAGGTTCACACATCCAAAGCAATAAACTGGTTGTAGATTCTTTTTTAAAAAATACATAAAACGAAAAGCAATTTTAACATCAACTTCTATTTTGAAAATTTTGGCCTTTTATCATCCACTTGGCTTTCCTCTCAATACTTTTGCTGCAACCAAGAGGAGAAAAGTTTATTTCTAAGTGGAGTTTAGGAGTCTCATAAAAGTTCCAGAGTTCAGTTGTAAGTAGAAAATTAAGTATAAAAAAAAAATCGTGAGAGGTGGGAGCAGTATTTATATCCAGTGGCTGTTTCCAAACCTGAAATCCTTTAGTTCATAATATGAGTATGTTTTTGTTCATTTTAGATGTTAATTGAGAAATAGTTTTTTTTATTACATCAGTAGCTATGAAAGTAATACCTCCTATTTATTTATATTGGAACTACAACAGATACAGAGAACACAATAATTCTATTTGATAGAGAAATGTCTCAGCTAGAAATTCTGTTTTTCAACACACTCACCACCATTAGCTGTACATTTTTTGCCAGCAATGAACAAGAGCCTGCATGCCACACCAGTGAAAGTCTGCACCAGTGGAGGTGACTCACTGTCACCATTACTGAAATGCACCACTCATCACTTCACTGTGCCCACATCCACTGTTTTGTCTACATCAACATTTACTAGCATTGATGAATGTCAGTGGGTGCCATTTTTTCCTCCTGGAGGAATTCAGCTCCACCCCTTTGCTTCAGATGCACTTTAATGTCAGACAGCATTTTGTCAGACTGTTCCTCTTCTGCCATCTGTCACACAGCAACAACATGGAGTGGAATATTGGTGGGAAAGTTCAGCCTCTACTGCTGTACCACCACCATCCTTCTCTGATGTCATGGGACAACAGAATAAAATAGGAGACATTACTTTCATATTTTAATTGCATAATTGCATTAATTGCATAAAGCTGTGTTACAGGGCAGAATTTAGCTCAGCAAGTTCAGATTGAATTGGCAGGTTGTCTTGGTCGATGACATGGTCGTCAGTGCCCAGAACTTGAGCATTAACAGTTAAACTACCAGTGCCCTACATGAAGTTATGACGTGGAATACCGAGAACAAAAATCACAAAACCATGGCACAAGTAATAATGGAAAGTTTGCAAATGTTAAATAACTCCAAGGTGCATTATTTAAGGAATATAATGTGGGTTAAGTCCTGAACTCTTTAGCAGAGATTTAATACAGGTAAATTGCTGTTGAAATGAAGGCTCTTTTCCCTCCCTTTTTCCTGACCCCTCTGCTTTGCCTTTCTTTCATAGACTGTGCCTGAGGCCCAATGCAGGTGTGTGGACAGTAGGGCTGGGGTAGCACCCATTTTCCAGAAATTTCTTTCTCTTCAGGCTTCACAAAGTGTCCTTTGGAGACTCTAGAACTGTCTGCAAAGGTCAGTAGACTTGCTTCAGATACAAGGCTGTTGTTAGACCCATCACCCAGCCCCTAAAGACCTGACAGGAAATGTAACATAAGGTTCTGCACTTTCTTTACAATGACCTCTTCAAGAAATTCTGTGAAAAGTCATACAAGTGCTTGTATTGCATCTCTGTGTGAAAGTATCAAAAGTAGGGCAGATGGAGTTACCAGCAAAATCTTTTAGACAGCTTTGGTTCTAGCAGAGACAGCAGAGGAAGAAAAGGAGTTAGAATTCTCTTGCTCCACCATTTTTGGGGTATTTCTGTAATTAGAAGAAGTATCAACAGATACTTGTTCAGATCTTGTCCTCTTTTCCACAGCAACAAAACGCCATTGATATAGACCTGGGGATGTTAGCATCTGAACATGAGCTAGCAGTAAGCCTGGGTGGCCAAGAAGGCCAGTGGGAGCCTCGCCTGTGTCAGAACTAATGTGGCCAGCAGAGTAGAGGAGGTGACTGCCCCTTTTTATGCAGTGCTGGTGAGACTGCACCTATAAACTGTGGTCAGTTCTGGGTCCCTCGTTGCAGGAAGAACACTGAGTTGTTTGAGCCTATGTAGAGAATACAATGAAGCTGGTGAAGAGACTAGAAAACAAGAGACGTGAAGAGAGGGAGGGAGCGAGCTGGGGCTATTTAGTCTGGAGAAGAGGAGACAGAGACCTTGTAACTATCTACAGCTACCTGAAAGAAGGCCGCATTGAAGAGGTTGTCTACCTCTTTTCTCAGGTGACAGGTGGTAGAACATGAGGAAATTATCTCAAGTTGCACCAAGGAAGATTTAAATTGGACACTGGGAAGGATTTCTTCATGAAAGAAGTGGTCAAGCATTGGAACAGCCTGTCTGGGGAAGTTGGTGCAGTCCCCAACCCTGGATGTATTTAAGAGACGTGTGTGTATGACACTAAGGGGCATGTTTAGTGATAAAACTTGGTACGTCAGGTTGGCAGTTGATTTGATGGTCTTTTCTAATGTAGATAATTCTGTGATCTTGAGGAGATGGCAAGGTCGAGTTTTTCCATGTTTGTTCTAAGCTGTGGTTAGTACTTAAGGGGTTCGCTTATACAGAAAAGAACTGACACTTAATCCAAAAATAGTCCCTGTTCTATCCACTAAATGGCCTATTGCCTTCCCATTTGTTGTTAATACCTGGTGTTTTAGGTCTTGCAAAATTAACCTACTAGCTTATGTTTTCAGAGAGAAACCTGTAAAGCTTCTTTAAAGCTACAATTTCTGTCTAGTGCTCCTGCTGTGGTGTGCTGGGCAGCTTGACGAGAGTTTAGCTTTCTGATGTAAGGGATTTTCTCTCTTTGCTTGTTGAAAATGGAGTATTGTTTACATGCTAGCTCTGTATCTGTCCCATGAGAACATTTGCCTCTCCTGTAACAATGTGCAAAATGTTCTGCTCAGGAAAATGTTGTTTTGGATTAAAAACAGAAGTAATTTCAGAAATGCAGAAGCTTGATGTCTTGTTTATGGGAAACTTGAGGTTCCATCACTTGCTGGAATTTGATCTCATTTGTAATACCTGTCCTAATAAGTGAAAGTGAAGTGAACAGCTGCTCTGAGTTACGGGATTGACAAAGTTTCTTTCAGTCAGTGGACCCTGAAGGCCTCCACCTTTGTAGACACTGTTGTTCTATATAATCCTGTACAGGCACAATGAATGCACCTGACTGCCCTGCAGTCTTCTGGAAATTCAGCTGTTTGTGTACACCTGTTAAAAAGCCACCTTGCTTCTGCAGATGGTAAAGTTGTTTCAAGCATAAGATTTTCTCCTTCATGTGTTCTTACCCTTCCAATATTTTCACTGTAGCACCAACTGAAGAAGACCCTCCAAGGCAATGCAGCCTGACCTCATAGACTGTAGCTATTCTAGGGCTAGATTTGTGTACTGATGCTATGTGTAATCCAGGTAATTTGGATATAGTAGTTACCTCTTCTGCCTTCAGTGCTGTTCTCTTTCAGATGTCTGTTCCCTTGGTATCTCCTAATGTCTCACTTTCATCTTTACCCTCATGTTGATTAAAACTGGCATTCTAATCTTGCAGTAAGAAATCAATACATGAAATAGATACGCGATTGTCACTGATGTCCTGTCTCTAGTAGGCACTTTGGATGTGCTTTTGGAAGTAATGTAAAGGGAGTAGTGCTGTGCTTATGCAACTCATCAGGAGAGTGTGTCACAGATGACGGTGAGGGAGAGGAAAGAGGTCACCAATGGAGAACTGAATAAAAAAGTTAATATACGTAGCAAAAAATGCTCAAGTAGGTGACTGAAGTCACCTAAGATAGGGGGAAAAGAGGGTTCAGGTATGTGATATTAATGTGTTATTTTCATGGAGGTGGAATCAGTGAAACTTTGCAGAGGACACAGAGGACTCTATAACACGACTGAGTGAAGCTGGGAATGTATCATGGAAAAAAGAGAATAGGAAAGAAACATTTTCAGCTGAGAAGAGTGTCTGTTATCTCACACTTCCTTTCTGTTTATCCAGCTGTATCATGCTGAGGACCATACTTGTGTTTTCTTCTGAGGTTGGAAAGTGCACTGCATGCTTTCGTATGCTATAGAAAACAGTGGATACCATGCAGTTGGCTGTTATGTAATATCAGTCTGGATCTAAAGTAATACAGAGTGGTTGTATTTGTCTGTAAAGAGGTTTCCAACAAAATCTAGGATTTTTGTACACATGAAAAGACAATGTGAATTTTATTTCCTTATGTTCACTGAATCTTCAGCAATGAAAGAATGTTTTGTAGCTTAGGATGACCTGGCCTTGTCTAATGCAGAGGTTTGTTGTTTTTTATCTTCCAGCTAGTACTTGCAAACAGGATGTACTCCAGAAGAAGAATGCTGTCTTGGTGGATGGAGTCATCCTGAATGGTCCAATAACTGATTCAAAAGCAGGAGAGAAGTTTGTGGAAGAGGCCTGTAAGATCATAATGGAAAAAATAATCCAGAAAGCTGATGATGTTACAGAAAAGGTAAAGTCATAGAGTGTTGTTGAAAAGTTGCAGCAGAAATAATGAACAATGAATAATTTTTTTCAGCTGTATTTTATTGCACTTCAAGTAGAATCAAAATTGCTTCTAGTCTGTGGCAGTTCAAATTTTAAAAACCTTCCAGTAACATGGCTAGCATACTACCTATTTGCCAGAAACTAAAGCTTTATTTATTTATGTTTTGTCTCAGAACACAGTGCTGACTTTCTCTGAGCTGACAAATGGGTGTAGTGCATTTCCTGATTTGGTTGTGGGGAATTGTTTATTCCTCAGAGGCACTGGTATGAGTGAGGGAGGGACAGTGAATGTGGTACTACTGCAGAAGGGAATATAATGAGATTGCCCTGGGTTTCAGAGAAACCCTGCTAGAGTGGATGTGTTGGAAGGGCACTAGAAAATAAAACATTATTGCCTTTGGGCACGCACAGATTGCTCCCATCCCTGGGCAGAGCAGCATTTGAAAGTGTTGGGACTACAAAGCCTTAGCTAAGAGCAAAATATGACCAGTAGGCCTCTTTCTCCTAACTGGGACATGTGAGCCATGAGCAAGATAATTGGGTGACTCAAGGCTGACTCTTTACGTCCGTGCATTCCAACTGGCACACCTTCTCCTCCCAATCTTTTACATCTTTCTGCCTTCCATATTCTGATTTTTATGGTCAAGGAATGTCTGGGGTGCAATAAAACCAAGACGACATGAGACCAACTTAGCAGACATATATTGTCTTGATGGCCTGCTGCATTCCATGGGCAGTTCTGAATGTGGTACTTACCTGGCACTTCTCTTACAGCCTTCCTTTTACCTAACCTGTTCACTGTTGGTGTATCCTATTTACTCATCATTAGGTTTGTGAATGGCGGGCCCCTGAAACACTGAAGAAGATTCTTGATCTGGAAATGAGAGACACTGGAGAATCTCATCAGAAACTCTTGCAGCTCTGCCAGGATGTGATACAGTACAGTGTCAAAACCAGTAAGAATGCAATTTCTAATGAAGTTGTTTTGTAGTATACTAACCTTGGAAGATAGGATAATGTTTATATATCTCTACTATCTTCCAGAAAACTAGGGATTTGAATGCCTGCTTTCTATCTGCCTACACAAATATACAAATATTTGATTGTGTTTCAGTTGTTTGACTGCATGCTGGTCACCGTAGGTGTCTGTTATTGCCCAGAAGGTGTAATCAAAGAAAACTAATCAAAACCTAATTATCATAATGCTGTTGATGTTAACAGTAGATTCTGTCCTCTCGAGGTCTTGTGAAATTTGCCTAGACGTATATGATATAACAGACAAAGAAACTGGAAAGATCTTTGTATGTAATTTTGTGCAGTGATGAGTGGAATCACCGTCACTGCCCTTGGACAAATAAGAATGCATTCTTTGTGATAATTATCCTGTGTTTACTATTGCTTTCTATTGAGCAATAGTCTTATAGGATGTTAATTTGCCAACAGGCAGTAATTCCCATTCCAGACTCTGTAAGAAGAGAACCTGCAGTGTTTCAGAGATCGTACACGACATCTCTGCAAGAGTGGTTCTCTATGGGTAGCCTTTCTGCAGTGTGTGAAGTATAATGTAAACTTAACAAAAAGGGATGAATAAGAAATAGTGTTGTTTTCAGAAGCTCATGATTTCAAATGTGGCATAACTTGGGCTGTATTTTGGAAAGTGAGAAGGTTATGTAATATAATTTCTGTGCATTTCCAAGGCACATTCCTTCCTACTGTTTCTATTGCTACTGTAAGGAAAGCAATAAAATGATTTTGAGGATGAACCTATCTTTGAAAACCACGGAAAGGCAGTAATACCGATCTAAAGGGGCAGTGTATTAATAATACACGGATATAATTACTGAGTTAATGGAAGGCATTCTGATTATCTTCTGCAAATTGCCTTCAAATTTTCATTTGTTATGCTTAGAAAGAATATTAAATAAGAAAAATATGCGGTGTAAATAGTTCTTAATCTAAGTATAAACATGCATTGAAGCCTTGAGTGTAATGGGCATGGAGTCATACAGCTTACCTGATTTTACATGTTTTACTGTTTAGGAAAACTTGGCTGAATGTCCATTGCATCTCTGAACACCACTGTTAAAGGCCTCTGTACATACTCAGTTGTCAGTCACTTCTTTTTGATCTTTAAAGCTTGTGAATAATCCATGTTTGTTCTGTGCGCTTCTTACATCAGCCTTATTTTGGGTCCTAAAAATGCCTATAACTTTTACTTTCAAAGGATTGTCTAATTTAAAAAAGGACAGTAAACCCGTAAAATATTGAGAGAATGGGGGAGTGAATCATGGTTAGCAGGGATCAGCATTCAGCTGAGAGAACCTGTGATGTATTCTCTTCTCATATACATTCTGTTCCTGCTTGCTTTTCATTTTTATATTTTCAGATCATCCAAGATTTTACAATCAGCTGTACGCTGGAATAGATTATTACTCATTAGTGGCTCGTTTCATTACTGAAGCATTGAACCCAAGTGTGTAAGTGCAGTTCCTTGTACTCATATTGATGAATCTTGCATGCTTTTTGAAGTAACGTCTTCCTGACCACTATCCCTTCTTCTCCCCCTTGTAATTTTTTCCCCTGTTTTCAGTGTTCCAGAGGAGGTAGGAATTGTGCAGGAATTTGGGAAAGAATTTGGTCTAGTTTGTCTGAATAGCTCACCAGAATCTTGGCTAAGCTGATGATTTTTCTAGTTTGTGATTTGAGGCTTAAGAGATTTTTTTTTTAAACACTTTTAAACCCAAACTTTTTTTCTCCTTACTTTGAGAATAAAAATATCAAAATGAATTAATCCAACTTAGTTGTTTATTTCCTTTGATGTGCTCTGCACAGAGTTGAGTGCAAATGATTCCTGTCTACTATTTACTCGCAAATGTAAAGTCTAAACAAAAAGTGATAGCTGCTTGCAATAGATTATTATTGCTGAAGTTTAAGCATTATGATCTTTGTTAAAATCAAACTCTGTGGTATTACTGTGAGAGTGGAATTGTCATTGTAATGCTCACAGGAACTAAGCAATTGCTCTGTGGGTCACGTCTATAGTCTTTTCAGTTTAGAATTTTACTTTTGATGGCAATCAGCTTTTGATAAGTAAGAGAAAGGTACAAAAAACCTCTATCTAATTTTGACATGATGTTGTGGCATGAGTTCCGTAATCTTAATACCAAACATGTTCCTTTTATTTTTTGTTCAGATATACATATGAAGTATCACCTGTATTTCTGTTAGTGGAAGAAGCAGTCATCAAGAAAATGATTGAATTCATAGGCTGGGAAGAAGGTGATGGCATATTTAATCCAGGTAATAACAATTCAGATTTTCAAAAGAAGTCATGATACATCTGATACAGTAATTCTATGAACATTTGATTTGTACAGAATATTTGAAAATGCATGTGAAATCCAGTGATGCACAGAGGAAACTATTGTGTCCAGGCTCCTTTTTTGTATTCTACTAATAATTCTATGAATCTGATCAGCAGCTTGACGAAAGAAGTTCTGTGTGAAATATAATTGTAGAAAATGAATTGTTTGGAATGGAAGTCCTTCCTGACCTTACTAACAACAGCACCAACAGCTGGATTGCACTGAGTCATTTGATGACAGATAGAGAGCTGATGTAGTTGCTAGACACCAACCAGTTGCTCCTAGAGGCACTGATGTATTTATTCTGGCTATCACGTGTGGGAGCCAGAGTCTGAACTTTGACAGTTTTTTGAAATGTTACAAATAGGCCAATCAAAGAAAGATTTCTTAAGCTTCTTGATAGGTCACGTTTTTTAAGTGTTCTGTAAGGCAGCATTCCAGCTCCATGTAAAGAAATAATAAAACATCGTATTATTCCATAGATTGTTCAAATTCCAAGTTACTATATTGAATGTGAAGCTTTTGTGGCTAGGTTAGGGGTAGAAAAAGATGCTAAATGAGGAAATGGATTTAGTGCTCCACTTTCAAAACCAAGACAAGGCTAGGAATTCTACCCTACGTATGAATCGTGGAAAAATAAAAAAGATATAAACCAAAACTCTCTGGAAAACTTGTGAAAAAATGTATCAGTAACATTGATTTCTTCATTTCAGATACAGTGTGTACTTTCAGTAGAACCCTTGTCTTTACTGTAGAATTAATTCTAACTTACTGAAATACTGAAATAGATAAATGAATTATGCCTTTTAATGATAGTTTTAGATAAGACATTCCTTCTTCTTTTTATTATTTTTTAAGTAAATAAATCTAGATCACACCTTGCAGATTGCACTCACCATGGATTTTTATTTTTATTTTTTCCTTGCGATGCTCTGGCTGCCCAGGAGATCTCCTAGGCTACATACAATACAGCCACAGTTCAACTGGTGCTGCTTTGGTGTGTGTCAGAAGGTGTTGTTGCAGGGTGTTCTCCATCATGGAGGACTGTTTAAGCATAATTCTTACTTCTTTGGGAAATACCTCCAAGGAGCATTCAAACCAGCTCTGTTTCCATTCATGATATAGTTCATTTTATATCTGCAGGTTTTTGGGGGAGGAATTAAGTTACAGTAAATGCATCTAGAGCCTAGTAGTTTGGGGTTTTTTTGTGGGTTTTTGTTTTCTTGTTTTTTTGTAATAGACTAATCACTCAGAGATAGAAAAGATGCTAGGACTGTGATTAATATGATACTTGTATGTCTTTGATTTCAGGTGGCTCTGTTTCTAATATGTATGCTATGAACTTAGCAAGATACAAGTATTGTCCAGAGATAAAAGAAAAAGGGCTCTCAGGTTTGCCAAGACTAGTCCTGTTCACTTCGGAAGAGGTAAAAACAAAAAAGAGCTTCTTAAAGCATTTAACAATTAATTTTATTTTTCAATGGCTACATAATTATAACATTCACATGTCTGACTGGGGTCCTGGTACAATGAATTTGCCATCAGTGGATGATGCAAAATATCAGAGCTATCTGGACAAGTCTGCTGATAAATTTCCCTACAGAAGCTTTCTTATTGTCCAAGTAACTTTGGATGTTCTTGTTCCTGGGAGAGGCTGATAGAAGAAAAGACTGCGTGGGGTAAACCTGAAAGCAAAGCATGTGGGGTGTTGTGGAGATCTACAGTTTACAGTCTAGCAGGATCCATGCATAGGTTTCAGAAATTTTTCTTGCAAGATGTCAAAGTTTGTATTGAGCTGAATGCCTCCAGACCTGTGAAATGGCTCTCTGCAGCTCCCACTGGTACCTGTATCTGAATTTGCTATGGTAGAGAACAAAACCTACCATAAAATATTTGGGCAAATTCTTCTGGATCTCTAGGCAGTTCTTCTTTAAATAATTGAAAATATGTGGTTATTTCTGAAGTTTTTGAGTAATAACTGTTCAAACTGTCTGTGGGAATTGGAGATATGTCCATACATTTATTCTGAAGCTAATTTCTTTTTCTTTAGGGGCTCTTTTCTCTCACTTCTCCAGTTCTGATTTTCTCATTGTGCAGAAGTGTTATTACAAACTCTACTGAAACACAGAATCAACCAGAAAAAAAAAAAGTTGAATTACTTTTAAGGCAGTGTTCTTGATCTGTAATACTTCACTTGATTCACAAAACCGTGTTGTAATTAGTGATTGCTTGCTGTAAGACTGCCACTTTTAGCAGGTAGATATTGTGACTGGTCAAAGACATCTAGTTTTAATTCTTCATTTTGAGGGAGGATGGTACATACTGATGTATATTTTTGATCCATCTGTACAAATTTTGCTACCTTTTGCAACTAGTTTAATTCAAATATGTCCTGTTATTAAGAGTGTATTTAATAAATGCCCAACAGTAAAAAGAAGTATGTAAGTGCTTGTGTCAGTCTTCATTTTTTATTATTTGTTTTTATTTTGATGCTGCTTTTGTATAGAATTTTACTGTTGTTTTTGTTCTGCAGAGTACCCAGAAGGCATAGACCTGTTTTGTGTTGTGTAAGCAAATGATTGAAAAAAATGATAATAGCGAAGTTGCAACCTGTGTTTAGCTTTAAAGTGAGTAAGGCAGATAGTGTTGGCATGGAGAAGTAATGAGGCTTTAATGAAATGAGAGTATTGATAAGGAGTCAAAATGCACTGTCAGCTCCAGGCACTCTAGTTGTAGGGCTTTGCTTCAATGCTATTGAAATAAAATGATTTTTGTTTTGCTTTGAGTTGCCAAGTCCCACAGTTTCTGTCTGGCAGTTGGCAGGCTGAAAGAGCAGGGGAGTGCATGGAGTTGTCAGCGACTTAATGTTATGTGACCTGGGGACTATGTATACTTTGTATGTTTGTAGTTAATATGAAGTTCTGTGTTTAGTGTGTGGCCTACTGAAGGTCCTCACATGCTGTATTTGGCCTTCAGCAACAAAAGTGCTCCTTTTTACTGCAAGTAAAATACTAAACTACTTTACGGTCATGATATTCCATGAAGATGGTACTCTTCTATAGCTCTCTTGCTGGACAATTACAGAGTGATTCCTCTTGAGACCATTTCAGTAGTAAGAAGTTGTTAAATCTCACTTTCCTGAGGCATGATTAGTGTTTCTGTAGAATCTGAATACAGCTATAGTTGTAGACAGCAACCCACCTGCTTCATTTATTATTATCATTATTATTATTATCATTTTTCTCCATTTGAGCTTTATTCTGACTCAAGAATGTATTGCATTGATCTGAAAGGTAGGAATTTGCTAAATTTGAGGTAACTGAGGGTAGAAGAGTGTATGTGTAAACTGTTGAAATGTATGTGTTGATATGAGACTGGAACAGGTTGCCCAGGGAGGTTGTGGAGTCTCCTTCTCTGGAGATATTCAAGACCCACCTGGACACCCACTTGTGTGTCCTGCTGTAGGGAACCTGCTTTGGCAGGGGGGCTGGACTCGATCTCTGGAGGTCCCTTTCAACCCCTACGATTCTGTGGTTATGAGTAGTTTTTAGATGCAAAGGAATTAAATTCGTCCTTGATCATGAAAGTAATAAAATGGAAGAACACAACTTTAACTCACAGTGTTGCCCCCTGTTGAAATTACATGAGACAAAAATGAGTAATAAACCAATCTCATAATAATGTAATTGCTTTATGCAATCATGTTTGTAGGAAACTCTTCAAAACCAAGAGAAGACATTTATCTTCTCTTTTAATGAGCTCATGGGGAAAGTGAATTATCTTTGCAAATCTTATTCGAAAAAGAAAACTAACTGTCTAGCTGTAGTTAACACAGTACAGCATCACATCTTAAATGTACTGTTTTGGTTTGATCTTGTGCTTTTTGGCATTCATTTCTCACTCCTAATGATTACAGAGTTAACATGTCCAATCAAAACTACAAAAGAAAAGGCAAAAGTAATCTCAACTTTTGGTATGAAAAATTATTACTTGATATCTTATATGTAGTATAGATACAAATAATGTTTTATCTGAGTATTGCTTTCTCCTTATTGAAAGGACACTATGAACAAATGAACTATTTTATATTGTTGTGACCAGAGCTGCTAATGTTCTCTGTTTTCTTCTTAAAAGAACGTGGTGTGATTTAGGTTTATGTAATGATGGTGAAAAAAATGAAGTTCATGTATGTTTTCTAGCAATGTAACTGAAAGGTTACTTTGAAGAAAAGAAAGCACATTTCAAGGCAGTGTTGTAATATACAGTCACTTTTCTGTCCTACTGTAGACTTATCAAATTTTATCAGGTCTTCAGTAGGACAGAAGGAGGAACAGAAGTTCTTGTAAAGGTGAGAAATAATACACCTGGCAGCCTGTTATGTTTTAGTGTCCTCTCTGTTCTTCCCTCTCCTTCTGCTCTTTAGTATAACCTCTCAAACGCTCAAGTCTCTTATCTTTCTCTCATTCTTGTGTACCAGTTTTAATAATAAATTATTTAGTGAGGAGTACTTTACTAATACAGTTATTTTGTAATTCTACAGCTTTCCAAATCTGAGACTGTATTATTTCTAGTGGTTCATACCTTTCATTTGACCCTAATGGACAGAAATCAGTGATACAGACCTTATTTTCAACAATTTGCTAAATAGCTTAAAGCATCTCCAAATTTCCATGATCAACACATTGCCACTCTACAATCATTATTACCATTATTGATGCCATGTAAGACTAATTATCTACCTATGTATCTTGTAATTTTTGTGGAGTTGAAATGAACGTGTCCTAAAGGCTTTGTGAATGTGTCACGTTACAAAAGTAAGCATTCTTAGAACTAACTGATAGTATCAGGTAGTATTTTTGTATGCCTTTAAAAAGTGTGCAATGGTGAGGAGAAAAGCTTTTTGTCAAAATGAAAAAGAGCCCTTTGAGATGATCCATCTCATCAAAATAAGCGTGACAGGCTTTAATATCCTTAATATATTCATACCCACACATTAAAATGTTGTACATTTTTCATAATTATGTTCTGCAGTAACTCCATTTGTGTGAACTCTCTGGAAGAAAATGGAATTAATTATCCACCTGGTTTCACCTCCTATCTGAAAAGTAACAATTCTAGACATTGTCACGGTTGCTGGAATAAGGCTTGTTTTAACTCTTCAGTAATAATGTGTAAAAAAATCCAATTTTATTTTTTTAGAAGTAATAATCCCAGACTTGGGTAGTCTTGATTCTGAGAACTGTGTAGTCCTATGAGATGCTGAATGCTCTCAAAACTTGCTCCATTGGTTTGAGTGGGTAAACATTTATCATGTTGCAGGGTGTGGAGAGTTTGAGATCTCAGAACAAGTTCAGATTAAGGTTATTGTGTCTTGAATTCCCGGGCTACTCTTGAAAATGGGTTAAGCTGTGTGATATGAGTGTGCTCTTATTTTGGAATGATACAGAAAACTGTTACACTGAAGAACGGTATCCCTGTAGAACTGCTTCCACTTTATGAAGTTGAACATTGGAAATGCAGGAAGCTAAAAGATCTTAAATATTTAACAGAAAAAAAGATTGGACAGTCTACAGAGTGGACTGTGAGCTCAAATGTCCTTCTTATCTGAGTAATTTTATCATTCATTGATTGACTAAAAGCCCATTTCTGATATCCTTCGAGCAGGTGAAGGGGCATCTTTTACAGTCACTTTACAGGCTTCGTACACAGATGCCCTTTATTCGCTTCAAAATGAGAAGCACGCTGTGTCTATTGGTGTTCATTTGCATTTGTTCATAGACGTCTTTTTGACAAGACGTAACTAAAATTCTTTGATAAAATACTAAAATATAGGCTGGTTCAAACTGGAACTTTTACCATAATCCATACTGATTTAAAGACGTCTGATGCACTAAGTGCCATCTAAAGTCTGCTTGCTTTCATAATGGCTTCCAAGATCCAAATTCGTGTGGACAACCTTGGTCTAACCACCAAGATTTTCAAGGATTTGAAAGCCTTGAAAGTCCTGATTGTACAAACTCTAAAAATTTTATTAAGTCTTGGAACTTAAACTCTGTGATCTTAAGAACAGAATTGCTGAGTCAGACCAAAAGTTGGTTTAACGTAGGTATCCTGTCTCTGACAGAGTCCAACAGCTGTTGTTTAGAAAAAGCACATAGAAAAAACGGAATTATGAAGTGGTAGAGAGAGATTATCTTTGTATACATCCTGATTAAGAGTCCAGTTTCCAGGGGTGGTTCTTTTGGATATTCAGACCTATAAGCTGCCTCTGGGCTGCTGAGTTCAATAGCCTTTAGACCTTTCTTCTTGTGAAATTGCCTTTTACTCTTATTACTTTCATTTCTATTTAAACATTTTGAAACGAAGTTCACATTTTGAAAAGAAGTTAATCATTCTTTCTTAATGATTATTTTAAATTTTTCTTATTTTTATTCTAATGTAGTATTGGCTTAAACTATTGATATGTAATGGAGCTTTTTATTTCTAAGCCAACATTTTAAACATGGTGCGCATCTATTTTGTTTGTTTTCCCTGCTCCCTGTCATAAATTGTTAAGTACAATACGTCTTTCTACTTGGCAGCTTTGTCAATTTGATTTATGTGTTAGGATATACTGTTATTATGACTGTTAGCTGGTATTAAATTTATTTCAATATCAGTGTTTCCTATGCAAAGGAATTTTTAATTGTGCTCTTTTTTAATTCTTTTTTTTTTTACTCTTTCAATTACAGTGTCATTACTCCATGAAGAAGGCAGCCTCTTTCCTGGGTATTGGTACGGAGAACGTTTACTTCATCAAAACAGATGAAAGGTAAGCAAGCAAAAATCATTGCTGTGTTCTCTGAGCTTTTTGAAATGCAGTAGTGCTGTACTAACCAACTTATTTGAATGTAACTGAAAAAGTTTTAAATCTGTGTCCCTTAGAGGTAAGATGATACCTGAGGAACTGGAGAAACAAGTCCAGCGGGCCAGGAAAGAGGTGAGAGGGGGAGAGAAAGCATGAAAGAGAGAAGAGGAGCGTATGCAGACTGTGTGCTTGTGTCTGAGTGAAAGGAAGGAAAACTATGAGTGAGTGAGATCTTAAAAATAGAGCAGTTAATGTACCACTGTTTTTCTTACAGGTGCAATCAATTTGCCCCAAACTTGTGGAGCAGGCCTAGGCTCTTAGGTGTTACATTGTTCTGGGAAGTGAAATTCTACAGGGCTTTCACAATTAATGAAAGCCCTCAGTACAACATTACTCTGAAGTATTCAGCACGTTTCGTCTAAGAGTAGGATTTCTTTTGCCCTTGATCTTTATTAAATAAAATGGATGCAGTATCTTAAAAGGGAAATGAAAATTGAAGGTTTTTCATTATGATAGCAGCTATTGTGCTAGCTTCTGCAGTGAACAAGAGTTGTAAGATATGGCTTGGTCTCTGAAACTGTCATACATGCTGCAAATTCTAATTTGTGTCCTTCTTATTCCTGTCCTAAGAGTGCAGAGATTCCATTGTGCCTCTTTTCCCACAGACACTTTGCCAACCAGAAAGGGAAAGGGCAGCAATTGGAAGTGTACTGATGTTTTGTTTGGACAACATTAATACACATCCCCACAGTCTGTAAGGTAGCGCTTACTGTAGTCGTTGCAACTTATTTTAGAGAGTTTGGAGGACCGAATATGGCTTGTAAGGCGCAGAGCATCTTCTTCTGGCTTGCTTATGCCACCTCATTTCTTGCTTTAGAGCAGAAGGATTCGGATCTCAGCCCTTAGTCCATGAGCTGAGAATACTAACAAGCTAGTGTATTGTCCCTGGTGTGGATGTTGCCTACCATGAGATCCTACTTTGGGAGTTATTGTGGCTGATAGAAATGGCACAGCACTGCTATCCTGTCATGCACTGGTGTGGCCACAATTGCATTAATTAAAACCTTCCTTAGATACATCTTCTGCCAAATAACCATCTCCCCTTTGGGTTTGACACTAGACAGAATAACTAGTGATACATGGTGTCCTTAATTAGCTAGCAAACTCTTCCTTTCTTTATCCATGGAAGACAGTCTGTACTTTGCTCATTTGAGCAATCGGGAGGGGGGGGAGGAGGGAAGAACTGAAGTGTGGAGCAAGAGAAAGCAGGCAGACAGGAGAATGAGCTCTGTGCTCTGGAAAAACGTTTTCTTGTTGGGTTTTTTTGTGTGTGTGATTTGGTGGTTATTTAGAAAGATCATCTGGTATTTATGTTGTTAAACAAAGAAGTCAGCCTCAATTCAGTTCTGTGCAATTTGAAAACAATGTTCTATATTCTATATTAATATCTGCTCATAGGTGTACTACCTTTGAGAAACACTCACTATTTTGCTTGCCTTTTGATGGAAATTACAGGCATTTTGGAAATTTTCCATTTCACCTGAGCTTCCATAACTCTATCTGTCCTTGATAAAGTACTGTTTTACAACTTTTTACAGAAGGACACTTCAGTGAATTACAGTAAATATTCTAATGACTCTTAAACAAGAGGATGTATTCATTAGTGACAAGAACACAGAATGTTCACTGGCTCTGAATAGGGAGAGTCTTAGTCCTGTTTTTAGAGAATTTAGTCAAGAGCATCTATTTAACTTTATTGGCGAGAATAAAAGTGTGATTCCCTTCTTCATAGAAAATTGCAATGGTAACTATAGTTTTTTGAATTTGTAATGGTCCTAAACTTATCCCCATATTTTGTCAGGCTGCCTGCTGGCAGCTGGGCAGGCTGTGTGATTGTGATGTAGCTGTGGTTGAGGAAATTGGTAAGAGTACTAAGAGAAACTGTTAAGTGCAGCAAATAAGTCTTAGCCTCACTTGAAAGTGTTTTGTATTTGAGCTTCAGGTTCTTTTGTAAGTTTGACTGACTTTTGTTGTAGGCTGTAGTAAGAATGAATGACCAAGAAGTGAATTACAAGCTGGTAATTCTTTGTGTGTGGGATTAATTTTAATTTATTCCAACGCTACTTTTCATTGCTTTAGCAAATTGTAGAGAAACTTTAAAGTACAAATACATCATAATTATGTGCTATTCTAAGAGTCCTCTACACTGTTAAAGAATTATGGGGCCTGGAGCACGTCTCCTGTGATGAAAGGTTGAGGGAGTTGAGATTGCTTAGAGAAGAGAAGGCTCTGGGGAGACCTTGTTGCGATCTTCTTTTACTTCTTTTACAAGCAGGAGAGTGACTGACATTTTATACAGGTAGATAGTGATAGGGCAAGGGGAAATGGATTTAAACTGAAAGAGGGAAGGTTTTTGATTAGATGTTAGGAATAAATTCTACACTTAGAGGCTGGTAAGGCACTGGCACAGCTGCCCAGAGAAGTTGTGAATGCTCCATCCCTGGAGGTGTTCAAGGCCAGGTTGGATGGGTTCCTGGGCAGTCTAATCTTGTGATTGGCAGGGCGTTTAGAGCTAGATGATCTTTGAGGTCCCTTCCAACCCAAGCCATTCTGTTTTTCAATGAATTATAAAACTATCAGAATGTAAATGTGAATCAAGCCTGTTTGGCTGTTGTAGATGTTTAAAAGTGGCAACACTTGAAAATAAAAAATAAAAAATGAGGAAAACAAAGATCAGATTTCAGTTAAAGTGAAGCTACATGAAAGACTTGCACTTAGAGTTTGATTTCCATCTGATGTCTGATTGCAGTGAAACTAGTCTGAGTTACATCAGCACACAGATTTACGTCATCTGTGGGATTTAACTCACTGCAAGTGAACTTCAGGGATCCAAGATTATGCAATTTAGTAACAACTTGGTGCTGCTTCTATAGCTGCACCGTCATGTTGTGAGCCAGATACTGGAATGAGCAGAGTAGTTGCTTCAGCATGAACTTATAGCTTATGAGAATGGACAGTCATTGCTGGGATTTGTACCCTCAAATTCATGAAGTTGTCACAGATCCCTTCTAATCTTTAAACTGTCGGATTTCCAGTGGTCTCTCTACTGTGGTTCAGTTGCCATCAACATCTCTTCCTGTTTTCTAGATAGTAAGGAGCAAGAGGGTAGGACTTGGCTGTACACAGGGCACTGGGGTCAGATAGCAACAGTCAAGTTGTGCTGTATGCCAGTTGGCAAAGAATATAGGCATTGTAGGGGGAACACAAGTGAGTCCCTGGAGGCATGAGTCATTTCCCAGCAGGGGTAGCATGCTGGCTGTACTAAAAGCTTGATTTGTGTTTGGCATAATGGTAGGAAATTGGATGGTAAAATATGGAAGATCAAGAAATGAAAATCAGTGTATAAAAAGGGATGTTAAATATCCAGAGTGCTTTCATCTTGATAAAAGTGGCATCTGTCAAAACAGTCTGAAGCTGTCTGAACCAGCGCAGTCTGCCCTGTGATGGTGGTAGCTGGAAATGCCTTTTTTTTTTTTTTTTTTTTTCCTAAGAGTCAGCATTTTTATATTCAGGACCTTCTTTATGAGGCTCTCAGTGCTGGGAAACTAAAATGTAGACTGTCACATCTTTGTCCTACTTTTCATGACCTTGTTATACTTCAGCTTTCCATATATACTGAGAGAAATGAATGGTGTGAATGACAGTTTTTTGTTTTGAATCCTATTGCAGGGGTCAGCACCATTTCTTGTCTGTGCTACTGCAGGCACAACAGTACTGGGAGCATTTGATCCTCTGGATAAAATTGCTGATATCTGTGAAAAGCATCACCTCTGGCTTCATGTTGATGTGAGTTTGGACACTGTGTGCTTTTCTTTAGCATTGCTTTTTCTTTTACAATTCATATCTTTCTTTGACTGTTGATGTTTCTGTGTTGTAGTAAGTTGGACTTAATTAACTTTTTTTTTCCAGAGAAAACAGACATATATATCCTTATTTGTCTCTGCTGCCTATGCTGAAAGTCAGCAAATGATTTGGTTGTGTGATGCAGTTAAGACTTTCTTGTCATCGTCATGCTAGTTTCAGATGATTTTAAGATCAATTTCTTTTTCCTCTTGCTACAACCCAAAATGCTTCAAGGATGATTATATACTAAAAGAACCACATTCCTTTGGGGAATGGACACATTAGAAAGGTGGTGCATCATTCATACAGGTTGAAATAAAGGTATTTCGGCTTCCACAAAACAGAATAATTTCTGGTTGGTGAAATTATTCTGTTTCATAGTTTCAGATTCAGTTTCCTGTACATCCCTTTAAGGTTTCCTAAATTGTTCAGAAATTTTTCTTGTCTCATTTCTTTTTATTTTTAGTTCTAGATTTTAAAATCGATTTGTGAGCCCTTTTGGAATAATCACTGACCCTTTTTATTACTGGCATTATAAAATCAGTTCATGAACCTCTTTGGAATAATCGTTGAGACTATTCATTACCTGAAAGAGGTAGCTGCAAGTGTGTTTTTCTAAAACTAGGCTTCTTCATATTTTCTAAAACTGCATTCTTTTTGTAGTGACAATGCCATGAACTCAGAATATCTGTACCAAAATCCAAGGAATGATGAGAGAATCTGGAGCAACTTAAGAAGAGATTTTTTTAGATCTGCTTTAAATTTTTCAAGTGTTTTATGTTAAGCAGTTAAAGAAAAAAAGACAGTTCATATAAAACTGTCTCAGACTTGAATTAAGTCTTGCTATGTGTGAGTCAAAAGAGTTTTCTTATTGACTTGGAGGCAAAGATAGATATAGAATTTAGTCCTAATATTTCAAGTGTCTGCAGAGCCTCCTCCTCATTTTGTGCTGGTGAGGATTAATCAGCAGGTTTTACAGCAGAAGTGAAGAATTCATGTTAGGTGCTAGTCTCTTGTGTATCTGTTCAGTCAGTGAAGAGATGGGTGTATTCCAAATCTCTGTTGGAATACTCATCTAGGAGGTGAAACTGCTGGAGGCATCTACAGTGGCCATGGGAGAACAATGAGCACTTTCCTAATCTACTCCCTGTAGCTGAATAACTAAAGCTAGGTGTATATACTGGGGCAATATTCTGAACTGTACTACATAGGCAGTTGCTGGTGTTCTGTAAAAAAACTAAATTTTCCTTCAACTTTACCTCTCGTTAAGCTAAAAGGAAAATGTCAATGAATACCTTAGTTAATTTTCTATTTTAAAAGTGACTGTCAGATGTTAACTGATTACCACAGAATAACAAATGTACAGCCATAAACTGGGTAGTTTATGGTTTTGAAGACTCATTTTTCTCTTAGGATGTGATTCATGTTATTAACCTTTCAATGAATTCTCAGCCTTTCTTGGGAGTTCTGTCAGTATTTTGTCCATCTTTTAATTCACGCTCAGGTGAACTGTCAAGAACTGAGTGCATTGTTTCTTTATTTCTGTTTAAAGTTTGTAACTGTATGGAAATGCAATAAAGGGAAGAGACTGAAAGCTTTGTATGTAAGTGACGTAAGGCATATCTATATATACAAACATGCTATGATAAAAAGATCAAGCTGTAATTTGTAATGTGACCTTTTCTTCACTCACAGCAGTATTTGAAATAGATTTACTGGAATAATATAGAAAAAGTAGGGATCAAGCATCTGCCATTCACAAATAGCATGTAAGAAACACAATGAAAGGTTTGATTTTATTTTTTTCTTTACTTTTAAGCAGGCCAACCTCCCTCTAGCCTTATAGTCAAGAACATTGTATTAAATAATCTTTGAAGATCTGCATTCCTCTGGAAGATTTATCTTCCAGTTGAATGCTTTACACATTGTGAGGTCTCATTTTTATGGCAAGTACTGCTTCTTTGTCAGTGAGTTACTGCCATAACTTTGGAGGAAAAAAAGATACAGTACCATTAAAACAATCATTTAAAAACAAAGAAAGCTTTAATTTAAGACTCTTATCACTGATGAGAATCAGGATTATCTACCACAAATGATCTCAAGAACTGTCTGTGCAGTTTTATTCCATGAAATGTCAGTGGCATTATTTCCAGATTTACACTGTTTTATCTCATTTCAGAATATCTTCTGATACAAAAAATTGATATATTTGCCTCAGGGAGACTCTTCTCATTAAATATGAAATGATAAAGTTCATGATCCTAAGAAAGGGCAAAAGGAGAAAATCAACATAAAATCAGCAGGCTTCAGGAAGATAAATTTTAGTAAAGTCAAAAATAGTAGGTGAGTTCTTACATGGATACAGACCTGAAAAGGAAGTTAAGAAAAAGTTTTTGAAAATACCAATAAGCCCAAACTCTCAGCAGTCAATCAACAGCCAATGCAGAGACAGTATTCTGTATGCATTGCAGCATTCATACAATGGTCATGGCAATAATCTAGCATACATCTATGAGGTCATTCTTAATTAGTTGTTTGATGTCATCAATATGCACTCAAGCTTGAGCACTTTTGTATGTCCTGTATTGTGTACATATATAGCTTTAAACACAGGGGTGTTACCTCCCTGCTGGTCCTTTACAGTTTTTCCCATAGCTAGCCAGAGCAGAAAAGCTGTTTTAACCTATTATCCATGCTTAGGTAGTTAGTTTAATCACATTGCAAACACCCAGTGACTTATTGTTTGCTGTGATTTCTTACCTATGAAAGAATCATTTTCTCATTGCATGGGACACAGCTGATCTTCATGTGTTTTGAACTACTCTGTATTATTCTCAGCTGGATTTACAGAAACAGAATGTGCCCATCTAGGTTGGTCAGTGTACTTTCCTTCTCTAGCCTCATGCATGGAGAAGAAGCTGCTAACTTTAGTGTATATTAGCAATAACTCATGGAAATTATCATAAGAAGGCCAGAGAAATGCTATGAAACTGCAACTGTTGTAGTGAATGAAAGTCTGGCTGGAAAATCATACTCAGAGAGCAGCCATCAGTGATTCACTGCTGAAGTGGAAGGATATTTTGAGTGAACTTCAGGAAATATATATCCTAGGTTATGTTATCCAGTATTTTTATTAATAACTTAGATGAAAAAGAATCCACTAGCTAAAAATGAAGATAACATAAAACTACAAGAGGCAGTGGGAGGACAGGATTAGAAATTAGAGATCTTGACAGCTTGGAAAAGAAAGTGGAAAAACTAGGTTACAGTTCAATAACGTTATTGCTCTAGGTTTAAGCTGAAATAATCAGCTGCACATAGAGCTTGGAAATGTTGGCTAGATAGCAGATCTCCAGAAAAAGATACAAAGTTTGCAGTGCATCACAGATTAGCAGCTTTAAGCTTTTGCGGATAGGGATAAATATCTTGACAGCTTCTTTGAATAAAAATACATAAAATAATCCTTTCTGCTTGGTGCTCCACCTGCTATATCCAATGAGTCCAAATCAAAAGCTACATTTCAAGAAGGGCTTGTTACGAGCTACTGGTCATATGTTGTTTTACAAATAAGTCATTCTTCAACCGATCCCATGCACGCAATTATTTGCCGTAACTGGGCACTGCACTGCACCTTCCCCATGTCCTGGTTTCAGGCAGTACCAATCACACGCTGCTGTGTGGTTGTTATGAGCAGTAGGTGTGTGCTTGGGGCTGGGCTGGGCCGCTCAGTGCTCAGAGCCACCACCATGATGGCACAGGGTAGGCGATGGCCATAGGGTGGGCTGGGCCAGGCCTCTTGCAGCCTTCAGGTTGCGGGTTGGACATGGCTGAGCTGCTGCAAGGAGGAAAAGAAGACCATGTGTTTCCCATGGTCACTATGGATAACAGAGGTAACAGTGTTTAGGACCGACATTTCATTCTGTAGGTTTTAGGTGGTTAAACACAAATCAGGTGGTAAAGTCTTGCAAGCTCCATTACTCTTTAAAAACAGGCAAAGCCAGTGATTCTCAATCTTCATAGGTGCTTTCTTGTTCCTGGCCTTGTATCCCTAAGCACTTCATCTGTGAACTGGGCAAATAAACATGAAGCACAAATTTACCTAATGGTACTGTGGCTCCAGGACACACTGAAAGGTGATGGAGATGCACAGCCCTGCAGTGCTATTGTACCAGTGTGGAAACTGTTGAGTCAGGGCCTGAAGCACTGATTGATCACCTGAGGCGAGCACTGAGTCAGCCATGGAGCACAGGTGAAGGCAGTTCAGCTGTATGATGGAAGGGGTGGAGCCTGGCTGCACTTCTAGACTCCATTTAAAGGCTGACTCCAGGGGGGAAGGGTTTCTTTCTGGAGATCCCTCATTTTGGAGTTTTCTATTGTGAGCCTAGGACATGGGTGAGCATTTCATTTTTGATTGTCTCTTTCCACCATGATAATCTTTCTAATTACGAACCTGTAAAATGCCATTCTAACTACACCTCTGTTCTACCTGTACATTTGTTTTCCAGATCTCTAGAAGCACTTTTAAAAATGAGGGCAGATAGAAGTGCCAACAGTGTTGCTTAGGCAGCAGTTGTTAATGTCTCTCTGCACTTTATCTTTCATTTTGCCACTGTTCACAAGCTGGGTGTATTCACTTCTTATTAATCTACACAAATGTTGAATGTTTGGTGGAAGTGAGATGGCTGATCCTGTCTCTGGAGGTAGGGCACAGTGGGACGAGCTCTTTGTGAGCTTTTCTAGTTCTGTTTTATAGGACAGCTTGAAAGTGCCAACTTTTTCAAATACTTTGGTTGCAAATTTTTAAAAGAATTATTGTATGTTATTCTGTTGATTATGAATTGTGAAAATTGGGGAATAATTTAATGGCTTTTCTGGCTTTTTTTTTTTTTTTTTTTTTT